GAAGGCATTGAAGAAAAATGTATTCTTGGAGGCTTTCACAGCTGGGATCCAATGGTGGTTGTAGGTTTTTCGGGCTATTTGGGCGCGTTCTGGAGGATTTTCCTCCTAACATTTCACCAGTCTCCGTGGCCGGCATCTTCGGAAGACAGGAGTTAGAACACAGACAGAGTTCCGACTCCTGTCCTCTGAAGATGCCAGTCACAGAAAGTGGCGAAACGCTAGGAAGAAAACCCTCCAGAATACGGGCCAAACAGCCCGAAAAACCTACAACGACCATCATTCAAGAAAAACGTAGATAATCACCTGACAGATATGCTTTGATTGTATTCCTGCATTGAGCAGGGGGTTGGACTTGATGGCCTTGTAGACCTCTTCCAACTTCACTTTTCTATGATAAAGGGACGGACAGACTTAGGATAGAAACACTTTCAATTCACTTTGTAGGTGTTACATTATCTACACTTAACTTTTCTATGATAAAGGCATAGACTTAGGATAGAAACACTTTTAATTCACTTTGTAGGTGTTACATTATCTACGATGGAGGATATGAAGACGCTAATGCTCCAGTGCTCTGTGCATTTAAAGGCAACCCAGAGTGACATCTAGGTGGCCTATCAAGGTGTCACCACCGTGCAAAATTTGGAATTCGCCTTGTGCACATGGAGCAATCCTTATTTTGTTGGCATTTAGCAGAGTTCTGATAACATTCATTCTGAGGATGCAGGTCAGGTTGGCCTGGGCTTTGCAAAAGTTGCTCAATCAAGCATTCGTACCAGGAATCGAATGGTTCAGGTCGGTTTCATCATGCAGAAATTGCCCCCTCCCCCACAGAATACGCCTGAGCCACATCGCAAAAATCATAACATTTTTAATAATAACCATAAAGCTAACATGACAAAGAGTTCCCCTTTAGAACAAGCGTAACATCTCCCATGTACAATCAGCAATAAAAATACTTTAGATTAATTGTGTTCTAATTTATAAATATATCTTTATATATTTAGACATTTAAAAAGGAATATTTCATACAGAAAAGCACTAACATGCAATGAAAGAATATAAAGGCTCTAGTGGATTGTACTTTACAATTAGTGCCTAACAATATTTTATTATCCAATATAGAAAAATTCAGTTCTGATAACATTTAAAAAAACACACACACATTTTTTTTTTAAAAAAAACCCTGTTACAGTGAGTAGCATAAAGATTTTTAAATGTCTGAGGTCAAAAGACGGACTTTAGGCATCAATTTTTACATGCCAAGTTATTAAAAACAGATTATTCCTAATGGAATTATGATGGATTAGTCATCATCAGACAGACAAGACAGAAGATTACTTTTGCGGTTTAATTTTGATGTTTGCTTCTCTGGCTTGAATACACGGTTGCAAATTAAGGAGGTCCTTCTGGGTGAACCATCAGAGCCGTATTTAGAGTGGGTGGACTGGGATTTTCACCCAGTGCACTGAAATGCCCAGGGTGCAAAAATGTCGATCAATTGGTTCGTAATGGGAATATCTGACTAGCTGGCAATGCAGCCTGGGGTAAGACCATGCCCTCCCTTACTGCAGCACCCTCTTCTTCCACTAGAAGAGGAGAGCCATACCTGGGTGAGCAGGTAGCTCAGTGACACCAGAACCTGAAGGAATAATTTCTGTTCACCCAACGGTAGAGCCGGTCCCACCCCAGCTGCTACAACTGCTAATTTCTGAATTCTCAAATCAGTAAATGCTCTGGGTGAGTGAGAGTTATGCAGGCATACTTATGTCCCTGCATGAAGCTACTTATCTCTTTCTTTTAATGGAGCATTTTAAAAAAATACTAATTTCAAGCAACTGCAGAATATGCGTTATTGGGTCTGTGACCATACAATAAACATATATGTGAGTAAAACATGTGTCTGGAAAACCAGAAGCAGAATTTATCTCCTAATTTTATAACACAGAGACTCCTCTTTTTTATTATGTCACAATATTGGTAGTGTAGAAAGAAGATGAAAAATGATCCCAATAGGGAGCTAGAACCATTATTAAAAGTTACATGGATAAGGCCTCTAATTGTGTACAATTTTTTTTGAGGTTTGGTACGTATTTATGACTGAAGAGGAAACCCAAGAATTTGGCAAACCCAAGAAGCCTATATTCCAAAGCTGTTCTCAGACAGGTGATAGAAGGACCCAGAAGAAAATTTTGTAGTTCCTGAAAGCCTCAGGTGGCTATTTCCACAAGGCTCCTGTGGAAGATGGAACATTCAGGAGGTAATCATTTCAATGACACTTGCTAAATTCCCTTTTTTTCCCCTCCCCGCACAACTGCTGATCATACAAAAGTCCTGTCCTCTTTTCTACAGGGCCCTCTGTTTTCCCAACAGAGGATGAGCTAAATCAGCCGTAGGGGCTTCCCTTAACAATGTCACAGTCCAGAGGCCCAATTTAAACTGGGTGTACAAAAAGAGAGAGCAATCCACGTGGCGAAGGCAGCCGCGTGCATGAGACAGATCAAGAGGATTTGTATGAAAAACTTCATCGGGCTTTTTAAAGAAACGGACCCTAAGAGAAAACAGTTCAAGCAAAGTGAGGGCTTTTGCTGTCTGAACAGGGTCAGTTGCACGATTAGAAGGCATAACCTTTGAGGCTGTGGAAACCACCTACAGCAGTGGTACACAACCTTGAGTCCCCAGATGTTCATGAACTGTAACTCCCAGAAATCCTGGCCAGAACTGGCAGTGAAGGCTTCTGGGAGTTTTAGTCCAAGAGCGTCCGGGGACCCAAGGTTGGGACCCACTGTTCTAGAGGATGGGCATTTATTAATGGCTGAATCCCATTGCTTAAGGTAGTTAAGTCACAACTAGAGTAGGTCTATTGAATTACTGGAGATTTGGTGAGTCAACTCTATTATGATCCATTGATTCAATGGGCCTGCTCTAGTTCTACTTACTATGCTAAGCAACAGGATTGTAGCCATTACCTTTATACTCTGCTTTTCCACTACAAAATGGCAGTCAAGACATAACTTGACATTGTTCAGATGTTATTAGATGGCAGATGTCTGGGGCAGATGGAATCCTACCACATCTGGAAGATGTTGCCCATCTGATTCTCCATCTCCACTCCTGCATCCCCTGAGCCATTACTGAAGTTCAGCAGCATTCCGTTATCAAGGGGAAGGACATTCCATTGATACAAACATGTTCACATTTTTTAAAAATAATAATAATCATCATTGTTTAACATTCAGTGGACAACACCAAAGTTGGAGGCCCATTTTGGAAAGCCAAACCGTTAATTCTTGAACAGTGTCCCAACAAAGTCCTCAGGGCCCAAGGAAGATTGGGGTTCACGCGGACTTCCTCCCTTCTCCTCAAATTTTACCACCCGCCCATCCTACGAAACATCAACATTCAGAGCGTCAGAGTTTTAGGTCTCCTGGCATTCCTCACTCAGTGAGTCTTCTGTGACAGTTTAATAGTTACTGTCTTCACTTCGGTGTATTCAGTCAGAGCATATTCGCCCCTGTAAAAAAAAAGGAACAAAGGTATTTTGTGGCTTAGATGCAAGGAATTCCACATGCTGACGCTCCATGGAGTTGTTTTTAGTGATCGGAGGGAATAGCTAAGATGAATAAAACAGCTATGAAATACCTATCACAAGATGAGTATTGCAGCCTTTCCAGGCTGCAACATTCACCATTCCTCACTGTTAGATGCCCTGGTTAGGAATGACAGATGTTGCAATCCCTCCACATCTGGAAGGTTACGTCTGTGGAATTGTTAAGAAGTATGGATTGTTAGAGGATTTGTCTTACACACATTTAGCTCTTTAAAAGAAACTACAGACATTCTTGATGGACTCTCTTGTAAATCATTTTCCCCTCTGCAATAGATACGGAAACACCAACTATCAGATTAATGGAGAAATCATATGGGACAGGAATGAAGAGGGAGAAGAAGCTTCTTCCCACCATCCTAGTTCGTGCCAGTAGGGTGGAAAGGAGTGCTGTGGCTTTTTTGTTGTTGTTGTTCATTTTAACCCCTTTGGGGTTTATTTTTGTTTTACTTTTTCATCCCCTTGATTCCAAGTGGAGAGAAATGAAGTGTTCATTTCTGCCCCAGGGTTGGTGCAATTCCTCCACTTTTCCAAGAGCATAAAAGGGCTCTGAATCCTGAGAATCCAGAGCATGTCTATAGGACACTCCCATGCTGTCTTCTGAAACCCACATTCCAATGGAGGAATGCTCCCCAACCTTGGTTATCCCAGATGTTCCTGGACTACAACTCCCAGAAATCCTGGCCAACACAGCTAGCGGTTTTAGCCCAAGAACATCTGGGAACCATTGTGATAGAAAAATACCCTGGCTGAGGACTTTCCTACAACCTCAGACATTGGTCTCTAGAGCATGTTCTTCTACTTCTATGCTCAGAGAGAGGGATTTAAAAAAAAAAAAACCTATGACCACCAGGGATATCCTAGGCTTGGAATCTAAAATATGTCAACATTTATTTTTTCTTAAATTGCTTCTGCCGTCCTTCTGAAGGTCTCTGTTGGGGACCACCATGTAGAAGGCTCCATTCCTCATCACCTCTGACAAGAGGGAGCACCTCAACCCATAAGAAGCTCCAAAATATCAGTTGGCTTTTATTCTTGCCACAGAGTGTCCCCGTTTCCTTGCTCATTCCCCACTTAAAAAAAAAAAACAGGAGGAAAACTTACTACTTACAGTTCTCTACCGTTTCCGGACATTTTAAAGCCACCAAATGGAGCTTGTGCAAAGAGGGAATTGTAGCAGTTGATCCTTTGGAAAGGAAAAAACCACAATCAGATGAACTTCTATCATTGAGACAGATCAATGCCCGGGAAAGGGCTCTTTGATCTCCGTTTGCCTTTTAAAGTTCTTCCCGATCTCCCTTTTCGCTCCTGTAAAAGTGTCTTACAATGTTTGGACGCTGTTTTAAATGATTGCAATGGTTAGTCCACCTCCTGAAACCTATGCAAACTGATTTTGGTGTTGTTC